GGGTCTAGGAAATTATCGCAATTTGAGAACTGGGGAAATTTATATTTTGGGGATATTCTGAGTCCTAGGAATTTGAGATCTAGGGAATTTCAGTATTTGGGGGATATGGGGACATTCTGGGTTTAGGGAATTATGGAAATTTGAGATCTAGGGGAATTTACATTTTAGGGATTATCTGAGTCTAGGGAATTATAGGAATTTGAGATCTAAGGATATTTAGGGACATACAGTTATAGGGTATTTAGGTTCTGGGAACATACAAAAATTGTGGTTTTTCAGAATTTTGGTAATTTTTGATCTAGGGAAATCTTGGGTTCTGAGGATATAGAGGTGGTCAGATCTAGGTACTTAGGTATGTACTAATTTGAGGGTTAATCAAATAAAAGAATATAGTGTTATAAGAACCCAGGAATCTAAAAATATAGGAACTTACAATTTCCCTAAATAGTTTCAAACTCTTTAGATGAGCTATAGTGTCGAGTGGTTATCAGAAGCGTTTAAAGTCCGCGATTTTGGCGAAACCTATTTTCGCGATTTACGTCAGGTATTTACTAGCCACGTTTTCCCTACGGCCACACGTTTTATCTTTCATATTCTTGCGCCCCCATTTGCGTGTTCGTCTTCCTATCTCGTGGACATTAACGGTTCCATTATTTTCAATGCAAATATTTTCCGTCTCGATCGGGCCGCGCGCGAACCACACGCGAACGGAAGCATCGTCGACTGATTTACGCGGAACACCAGCCGTTTTTCCGCGAACCAATCAAAACGAATCACTCTTTCAATCCCGAGCTCCATTGTACGATATTGACAAATGACTCATCGATTATCGTGCAGCGAAATCGTTTGCATAATTTCTGTCTAGTGACCGATGCACAATTGCCCGGAGAAAGTTGCAAAAGTTGCTCGTTACATTGGCGTAATTGGTTTTTTAGCGAGGTCCTAGTTTCACTCGGTACGAAATTGAGAAATTTGTGAATTTACAGATTTGGAAATAGGAGATTTGAAAATTCAAATTTGAAAAATTTGATAATTCGAGTTTTAGAAAATTTTGGATAAAAATTTGGAAATTGGAATTTTGGAATTAAAAAATTTTTAATTCGGAGATTTGGAATTTGCAAAGTTGTAAAATTGCAAATTTGATAATTCAACTTTGATGTTTAGAAATTTGGAAATATTGAAAGGTTCGATAATTTGAAAATATGGCAATTGAGTGAAAAATTTTGAAACATTTGAAAATTTCATATTTTCAAAAATATCTAGTTACGCCAATGATTCGCAGTGGTATCGTGTTCACGGAAATCACGTGGTTCTGGTTGCAACGTTATATCTGTCTGCAAAAAATGCCGTGTACAGTTATTCGTGGTTGAACATCGAACCGAATCGTATAGATCGGTTTTGAAACTGAACTAAAATTTTGCTGAACGCAGCATTGACACAGAATATTGCTTGTTTCGTTTCTTTCTGCAGGGTTAGTAAAAAGGAACTAGTGAAAGTAAACATTCACAGATTCGGAATGTACATAAATTCCGATGTGATTGTTCAGTCACTGCTGAAACCTTTGTTAACAGTGATTGTCGGTTTACATTTTAAAGATTTTTATGATTTTCCCAGTGGATGTACCACAATTTACTGCTTGCGTTTAACAGAATTCAGCTGTGGTCGGTTTCTGTAAACGTATGGATATTTCTCGCAATGATTCATTAAGATTCGAAAAGTAGAATTTGGAGTCGGTTTCGCGTGGATGCGTAAATATGTCTGCAATCGTTAGACTGTGAAATAAAAATTCCAAGTTATCACCGTAACGGTGCGGTTTCCATGGTTGAAACCGCATTCGAAATTATCAAAATTTGTTATTGAATCGATACGAAGGTTTGTTCACATTAAAGTGGATTTTAAACAAAAATTTTCTTTTCGTATGATCTTGAGAAATTTAACATTTTGTAAGTGAAAAAATTTAAGCATTTATTTACTATTGTGATATAAGCAAGTATAGTAGATTCTAATATAGGGTATAGTAGTAGATTTACATATAGTAGATTTTTGTGTATGATTATAGTATAGTAGATTGTGATACAATAAATTTTATTATAGTTGAGTTACAATACATTCTGGTATAGTGGATTCTAGTATAGTAATTTATAACGTGGTAGATTCTAGCATGGTAGCTTTTAGTCAGATCCTATTATAGTAGGACCTAATATAGTACATTTAAATATAGTAGTTTCTAACATAGATCATTGTAGTATAGTAGATTCAAGTATAGTAGTTTCTGGCACAGAAAATTAGAATATAGTAGATATAGTAATTTTTAGTATAGTAGATTTAAGTATAGTAGTTCCGGATATCATAGATTCTAGAATAATATAGTCTGATATAGTATTATAGATCCAAATACATATAGTAACTTTAGTGCAGTAAATTGTAGTGCAGTAGATTATAATATAGTGCATATTAGTACACTAGTTTATAGTGTAATAAGTTCTAGTAAATATAATAGTTGCTAGTTCAACTAAATTCTAATATAGTTGTTAATATGATCGTATAGTACAAATTCTAATATAGTAGATGCTTGAGTAGTGATCTACTATAGTAGAGGATATAATAGAGGATATAGAAGATGCTCTACTATAGTAGATTCAGAAATAAAAATTTTTATTACAATCTATTTTAATATAGTAGATTCTGATGTGGATCATAACCTGATATCTAGCATGTATAATAAACCCTACTATAGTAGATTCAAATATAGTAGTCTTTAATGCAGTCAATTTTAATATAGTAAATTCTAACGTAGATAACCTAATACCTTGAATTACAGAATAACCCCTATAATAAATTCAATCTTAAACTTCCAACCTTTAAAATTTCAATGCAACACTAACAATTACAATGCCACAGAAACTGTCGAAGAAATACGAACGGAAGATTTATGACCGATCATGAATACTTTTTATAAGGCACATCAAGGACACCAGAGGTACACGTTACGGTATCTCCGTGTTCAGATAGTTACAGAATTACGAACCGACCAAGGAATTTTTTAATGCCACACTTTAGAACTATCGGTCATTTTATTCGTGGGTTATTACAACGGCCAGTCGTTAACCTTGAAGCTTCTGTTACCGAGAGAGACCCGTATTTAGAACTGCATCAAACTCAAAGTGGATGAACCGGTTTTATGTAGATTCTGCTCTATCAAAGTTTGTCCGATTAATCTTGATATCAAAAATACGACAGTGCGTTGTTTGCTTCACCGAAGTGGTCTTCAGTTAATTGCTTTAAACTTGCACACGTTTAATTATCTTTAACTTATCGAATACTGTGTTTACAGCAATTAACGTTGATTTCTTAATTAGCTTCCTTGTCTTCTTTATTTATTTTTATATTTTTGATTTTGAAAATTTTTCTAGTTTCGAGAGAATTTGAAATTTATTTGTAATTATGGGATTTACATTTGTTATGAGACTTTACATTTGTAATTTGTAGGGAAAAGCTTCATATAGAGATATTTCTCATCAGTTCAACCGGATTATAAATTTAATCATTTCTGCAGAAATTCAGGGAATTTCTAAATTGAAGGATTTAGTATTTGCGCGTTGTAACAAATGGGATCCACAAGTTTTGTAGCAACGCACAGCGGTGACCGTACATGCTTCACATTCGAAATTTTCTGCAAGAGAATGAAATTTAATACACAAGTTCAACGAACCATCGAGGATTCCGTTCCATGATCCTTATCCAACAAAATCCTTTGTAAGACCATATTTTTTTTCCTGTTCTCTCGATCCACTTTTTGCCGTCCACAAAGCTTCTCTTCTTTGACCGAGGTTCATTGAACCGGTTTGTAATTACGCTTAAAAATGATTCTCGTCATCAGAACGTGCAGTGATTCAGTAGACATTATCCTGAAAGCTAGTTGCTATCAGCTGTTATTATAACTGTTACAAGTTTATGTTAATTATTAAAAATTGTTTTGATACAGTTGTATATTATGGTTGTGAGGAGATTGAAAATTAGTGTTATGATCAATGTTGGTATCTGGTGTTTTATTTCACCCTGTACATTATTTATGATTGCTGTATTATTTGGTGATTTTATATTAAAGACTGATGTATTGTATGATATACTAATTATTGATATACTTTATCATACTGATTATTGATATACTATATGGTATGGTGATTTTTGATATACTGTAATATAGTGATTATTAATATATTATGTACTAATTGATATACTGTATTATGTAGTCATTGGTGTATTGCATTATGTGTTGATTAATGATATATTGTATCATGTACAGGTTACTCATATGCTATATTATTTACTCATTACTGATATGATTTATTATATACTGTATTATGTACTGGTTACTGGTATACTATATTATACACTGATTGTATACTGTATTATACTCATATGACACTGTATTATATGCTTATTACTGATATGTTGTATTAGATACTAATTACATACTAATATATTATATTGTATACTGATAACATACTGATATACTGTATTATGTACTGGTTACTGGTATACTATATTATATACTGATTGCATACTGCATTATACTCATATGACACTGTATTATATACATATTATTGATATGCTGTATCAAGTACTAATTACATACTACTATTTTATATTACATACTAATAAAATCTCTACTATAGAACATGTTCCAACAACACCAAACATTCCCTCAAATTAAAATTATTACAACTCCCAATCCTTTACCGACGACCGGTAAAATCGTCCCCTATTTTCTCCAAAGAAAAACCGTCCACAAAAGACATCGAACACAAAGCCATCCCAGAACAATTAAAAACAATGAACAGAAAAATTGCCGAACGAAAAGCATACACATACCGATTTACCGATGGTTAGATAAGAGCAGGTAGTTGCAAAAGTGGGGGATCCCTTCCCTTTTCACCTTCGCAAAAGAGGAACGAGTAAACCGGCCGCGATTTCTTTTCTTCTTGGATACGTGGCTGCACGGCGCTGGCGTCGTGCGTTCCTCAGCATCGAAAACCCTCGATCTTTTCGATCGTGCCAGCTGTGATCGTCGTCTGCACTGATCCATACACGTGGTCTAACAACACCTTGCAAACTTGTTTACTTTGTCCGCGCAAACAGCATCCGGTTGTTCAATCATCGTACGTTTGTTCTACCAGTGAGTTCGGTTGATCACGTGTGGTTACGGTAAATTGTTTTTCCTCGGAGCTAAATGGCGATACAGGAAGGTGAACGGTCGACGTGATGGTTTCGTGAAAATTTAGTGATGTGCAGAGATGAGACGCGAAATGCCGAACGCGAAGGAGGAAAAGGACCAAGAGGATCGTGCCTCGAAACAAGGATCGAGATCGAGAGTGTGTCAAGAGCACGGTGAACAGGATTGTCCGAGTGAAAACGAACACGAGTTCGAGTCGTTGGAGTACGAAGAGGACGTTTATTACTCGAATTTGACCGCGACACCCAGTTTTGACGATATTGACGAACTCAGCGACGATGCTGACGAGATTATTGTTCACTGCTGGAGAGACTCCAATGGTGACATCGATGAAATCGTGGTGGACGACGCGAATTTGTCTGTGGAGACGCAGTTTTTGCCCTGCGACGACGAGGGAGGACGCGGGAGGAGGAAGAAGAAATCGGTCCGAGTGATCTTCCAGGACTTCTCGAAACCATATTTAGCGAAAATTAGCAACAGCCAGAATTATAAGAAGTTCCTCGAATTGGTAAAAGGTGCAGAATATTATTCGCGAAAGTCGTTGAGTTTGTGAGGGTCAGAGGTTGGGGATCTTGTTGATTTTTAGGTTAAATTGTTGATGTGAAGATGTTGAGGCAGGGGACTGGTTGGAGATCGTGTGAAGAGATGGATTTTTGAATATGGGAATTTGCAAATTTGGGAAAGGGAGATTTAGGAATTTTGAATTTAGGAATTTTGAACGTTAGGTGTACAGAAATTACTTGAGTGAAATTTAACTTAGGTTTGTAGTAGTTTGGAAATAGGGAAACGTAGAAATTGAGGAATTTGAGAAATGGGGAATTCAGGAATTGAGAAATTTAGGAATTAAGAGTTGAGGTATTCAGGAATTTAGAAATTTGGGAATTTGGGAATTTGGGAATTTAGGAATTTAGGAATTTGAGGAGTCAGGAATTTGAGAATTTAGGAAGTTGAGAATTTAAGAATTTGAGAATTTAGAAATTAGGGAATTTAAAATTTTGAGGGGTCAGGAATTTGAGAATTTAGGAATTTGAGAATTTAGGAATTTGAGAATTTAGAAATTAGGGAATTTAGAATTTTGAGGAGTCGGGAATTTGAAAATTTAGGAATTTGAGAATTTAGAAATTAGGGAATTTAGAATTTTGAGGAGTCAGGAATTTGAAAATTTAGGAATTTGAGAACTTAAGAGTTTGAAAATTTAGGAACTTGATAATTCAGGAATTTCTGAATTTATAAATTTGAGAATTTTGGAATTTAGCATAAAATTCCAGAACACGCAAAGAAATAAACCACAAACAACAAAACTTTTACAATCTTAAATTCCAATATAAATTCCCAAGTAACAATTTTAAATACAATCGCAAAAAGACAAAGGTCAAAGATAAACACATGAAATGCTGAATCTTGAATCACGTGGTTCACCATTTAGCGTGCAAATATAACATTATTTTGCATATTTTCTTGTTACGTATAATTATCAAGCATGCAACAAATAAATGCTGCCTGTGATGTAACACTACTACGATTGTTTACCGTACGCTCATGTTTGATTCTTGATGTATACCGATGTCAACCCATGTGTTGGCGCGTGATCGATTTGAAGCAAAAGAAGCTTCTCACCGTGAACACTTCCAGTTGTAATACATTTGAGTAAACAGGAATAATAATGACAATAACAACTGTTGAGCGGTAGTAACGCTATCTTGTTCACTGGAGAGAAGTTTGATGACTGGAGAGATGTTTGTTTTTGGCCTAATTGGTATGATCGCGATAGTTAATTGTACCGCCGAAAATATGTATGAGGCGTCCATTTTTCTGTTTTGACCAATTGGAGTTGTAGCTATTTGGGGATGTGCCGATTTGTGGATGTAGGGATTTGGAGATATAGCGATTTGGGGACGTGGAAATTTGGGGATGTGGAAATTTGGGGATGTGGGAATTTGGGAACATAGCAATTTGGGAACGTGGGAATTTGGGGACGTGG